CAGTCCTTCAGATTCTTGCTCAATATTAAACCCTTCTTGGTCTCTCATTGAAAACCATTATGCTGCCTGAGCTCTTGTTAGCCATCCTCCTGGCTTCACTTCCCCGTCACTCATCACCTTGGAGGATCTTAAACAGGATATTGCAACTGTGTGTGTTCCTCCCCCACCAGAGTGAAGAGACGTGAGAAGTGGGACTTGTTGCTTGACGTTTTAAAGTAGACGTGTCCCAGTTCCAAGGACAGTTTTAGGGTTTAAAAATTAATTATTAAGCATTCAATAAATTCAAATCCAAAACTCACAGAAGGCAGAGTTTTATCAGAGGAAACTTCTTTTCTGCCTTCACCCAGAACAAAGGCTGGGGAAGGGTAGTGAGAGTAATGTGCTTCTTTTGAAGCATTTTTGATGGCTTCGTTTCTACTTGTCCTCCCGAGTGTGTTTCCTTTTGCTGGTTTTGATTTAGAATGTGGCCTAGATGTAAGTATTTTCTTCTAGTTAGACTTTGGCGCTCTCTCTCTCTCTCTCTCTCTCTCTCTCTCTCTCTCTCTCACAATAGCAATAAATACAAGTTAAAACTATTTTTAAAGAAAATTGTTTAAAAATAAAGTTCACTTTTAAAGTGCAAAAAGTGGTTGCAGAAGATGCGTGTGAGCCCACTAGCGTTGAAAATTAAATAAATGAACTACTCTAATCATATGTCCGTCCATGCATGAAAACAGTTTCTGATAGGTCATACACTGAACTATGAAGCAGCTAGTAATGCAGTGCAGAGCAGATTACAGCTACAAAAGAGAACACAACTAACTGTAACCACCATTTACCTGACAAGTGCTGTAATACGTTATACTTTGCAAATGTTTAATAAACATCTATTCATTTTCATTCCAGAACCTGCTTTCTAATGTTTGCTATCACTACCCTAATTTATAGATGAGGAATTTTACATATAAATTGTTAAAGAGTTTGCTGAAGATAACAGCTCTAATACATGGCAGAGGCAAAGTTTGAGCCCACATTTCCTGGCTCTGAAGTCTATGTACTTATCTTTGATAATAGTTATTATTGCGAATAGTTTGAAAAATCATTTCTTAATCCACCCCCAAATAGCAGTAGCAGCAGTAATAGCAGCAGCAAGCACATTCCAAATCTATGTAGAACCTGACTACCAGTGAAGGAAGCCTTCCGTCCCCCACTCCACAGCCTCACTTCCCATTGGGCATCTTTTCATATTCTTTGTAAGAAACAGGGTCTTCCTTGTGCAAGTCCTACCCCAGCAAGTTCTCAGGTTTCTAAAGCCCAGCTCAGTTTTCACACAGACTTCCATATTTAGTTTCCTCTTTCTCTCCCATCTGATCTGTCCACATTAGGAATAAATATTTCTCTTGACTGGTTGTCAGTCATAAAACAATGGGACAACTATTTACCTTGGGTGGGGAAAAGCTGAACCATGTGTGTCTGGATATAGAATGGATGATGTCCCAATAAAGCCTATCACAAATTGATGATCTGTAAAAGGAGAAGTCAAATAATAAGCAGAACGCTGCAGCTTAACGTGGGCTATTTATTAGGCATACCAAACTCTTGTGTTATCTTATATTTGGGGAAAAAGAAAAAACGCCACTAACCAAAACTCACATGTGGCTATTTCATGCCATGTGCTGAGTACTACATAGGAAATAAAACACAGAACAGACCATGTTTATGCTTTTACGTGTTCCAACACTAGTGATTTAAACAAGAACCAGAACCAGTCTGAACACTATAGAATAAAGAATCTCAAGGCTTCCTTGCCTAGGGGATGTTCGTCACCTGTATTTCTTTAAAGATCTCGGATCTCTGTGGCTGCCCTGCCTACAGGGAAGTTTAACATTTGTGTTGTTTTGAGGATCCCAAGGAGCTTCCACACAAGCTGCTCACCGATTTCCCTCTTCTGTACAGCACCGTGGCAGCTGTCATTCATCCCAGACTGGGAACGCTCACAAAATTTAACAATTAAATTTGATTAATAAAATAGTTCAAATCCATCACAAGAACTGCAAGAAGAATGTCTGCAGATTGCAGAGGTGGAGGAAGACAGAGAGAGTCGCTGCAGTCACTCCTTTAACACTCGGGGGTATATTTTTTGGTCATAAGGATTTAAATGTTCTTTTAGTCTCAGCTGCATGTTGATTTTATTCCTGCCTGCTGACTCCGATGGTAGCTGCTGCTGATGCTAGGCTACAAATACATTTCTATGTAAAACTCGCTGTAGATCAAGTATACAAAACGTTTTAAAAGGCGTGAAGGGGCTTGTTAAAACAAAGCTTGGTGTCCACAGCGCATCGTGGAGAGGTTGTTAGTTTCAGAATGCAAGCAAACGTCAAAATGTTTGGAGGTCTGACCATAAAAGGATGCAAGTTGAGTCTTCGTCCCTGTAATAAACTTGAGTCAGAAGAACAAACAAAGACATCTAGAAGGTTGCTCAACTCTGAGTTCTGTGAGAAGTTTTTGCTTCTGAAAAACACCACTGAAATTGAATATCTTGACCAGCATCTTATAGCAACTGAATGACACCCAGGGTCCACTGTTGTGGCCAAGATGCTAAATAGAACTAGAAAAGGAAAACTATGTCATTTTTAATTTTTTAAAAAAGGTTGTAGCATGTTTTGAAGACCAGCAACTGAAACACGTGGGGAAGAAGTTGACGTGGAATTGAGGACCGGAATTTAGAACTGGAAGGACTCTAGGGACATGTGGTGGGGTATTTCCTTGACAAAGATAAAGGTTCTTGTTATGTTTTTAGATTGATTTTGTAAAGCATGTTTATTTAGTTTTCAAGACAATATTGAGGAACTGGACTCAGGGTTAGAGGTAGAGTTAGTTGTGAGCTATCAGCTATAGGCTTGCATTTCTGTGCTCAACTTCATTTATCCCTGGAGTAGAGGCTCCTCACACAGTGTCTGCCTCTCTCTGTGCCCTCTCACAGCCCCCACCAAGTCATTTCCCTATGTATGCGATTCATGTTGTACACTTTAAATATATATACAATATTTTAAAAAACTTTTAACCTATTTCCCTGTCTTTGTTACCATTGCTACGACAACTGCCATGAGAATACTTGTTTAGCATGTACAACCCCTGGGCTTGATCCCTAGCACTGTACAAATTTGAAAATTGGGCATATAATTGTAATCCCAGCACATGGGAGACAGAAGCCAGAGGACCAAAAATCTAAAGTTGTCTTCAGCTGCCTAGAGAAATCAAGGCCAACCTAACCTCAAAGCAATAAAAACCCTTGAAAGTTCTCCATAGTTGGGTGCATGGCTGCTCACTGCTGTGTCTCCCTCACAAAAGGACCTTCATCATTTCATTTCACACAGAAATAATAGTAATGGCATGGGATATCGCTTTTACTTTTATTTGGGGGCTCTGAAATACAGGATTATGCCACTGTCTATTAAAACAGTCCTGACTAACAGTATACCCCAAATTCCCCAAACAGATAAAATATGAAGCCTGCAGAACTCTCACATCCAACATTCACTCTCATTATATAGATTCTATCTTCTGATACAGCCCCAAGAGATTTTTTTTTTTAGCATGGAATGGTCTAAGCTTGTAAACCTCATGGTTTTATGTCACTTTGCCAAGCTGTGGTCTTCCCTAATGACAGAAAAATTGATTCCCGCTCTAGTACGATCTGATGTTGGAGTTTCCTTTACAGCGTTCTCCACAAATATTTGGTTATGTCCTTTTCTAAATTGCTGGAGTTAGTCAAGCAGGAAGAGAAAGCTCTTTGCCTTTTAAAGTGTCCACTCACCTTCTTGGGAAAGCCTCTTCAGAACAAACCATTGGTTCCTCCCCTGAGCCCTCCTCCGGTAGTCCATTACCTTCGTTCCCAGGAGCAGCCAGGTGAAGAATTCTCTTTACTTCTTGCATATGCTGTGGCTTGTACCTTTTATTTTCCATACAGAGAACTCAAGATCTTTTTGCAAAGCTTGTTTGAATTAACATTGAAGATTTCTAACATGTCAGTTACAAGAATATTAACCTTGAATGAAATAAAATTATATCTTCAACTGCAGAGACTAAAATGAAGTTAAGCTTTAATCTCTCTCTCTCTCTCTCTCTCTCTCTCTCTCTCTCTCACACACACACACACACACACACACACACACACACACACACGGCAGGGAGAGTGAGCCCTGATGTCTATGACTTCCCTGATTTTAGGTCCCAGTCTGAACTTATAGTGAACAGTGAGTTCGTAGCTTCCAGAGTTTTGCGTTGCTATGAGAAGGTTTTCCTGATGATCTTTACTTTCTTATCATAATATCCCATACAGATGCTTGGCTGCATGTGAGACCTACGATTTCTTTCAACCTCTCAATACCGTGACTTAAAAACAACGCAAAGCCAACAAAGAAAAGACAGTCAGGATGGTTCAATAATTAAGAAGTAACAAGATTTACACAATAGCAAAGATAATCCTTGAGAATTCTTAGTTGAAAAAAATTTTAATCCCCTGCTGTCTCACTGTTCATGGGTTCTGATGATGAAGGAAAAGGAAAAACCCAATCACATTCGGTTGGCTTTCATTCCACTGATTATTACCTACTGGGTGATTGTTTTTAGTAATAGGGACAAACAACTTGGAGGCAGTTTGCTTCCTAATTGAAATGTTCCTTGTTTCAAAAGCAGGCATGTTTGGAAGTTCCAAACTGAGTTTTTAATACATCCAAAGTTAGTTGCGGGTCAACTTTGTAGACTGAGAGTTCATCAACAGGATGTGTCAGAAGCCATGACTTTTGAATGCCATTTCATGATATTGTAGTAGTCGTTCTCACTCGGCTTCGTCTTGTTTAGAGACTCCTTATTAGTGAGGAACTAACATAGGACTTTCCCAGGACCCGCTGTGAAGATCCCTACACCTTTTGCTTGGCTAACAACAACCCTGCGTTGTATGTTTTGGAGGAAAAACACCACGGCAGAGCATCTCACCTGAACATGTTGTTGCTTCACAGAAAAGATGACTCCGCAGACTGAGCGCCCCTCCACTGAGACCCCAACCCCTGAGGAAGAGCAACAGATGGGAAAGATGATGGCAAAGCGGGCCAAAATCATCAGGGAGCTGATACAGACGGAGAGGGATTACGTCACGGATCTGGAGCTGTGTGTCAGAGAAGTGGTCCAGCCGCTGAGAAACAAACAGGTGAACGCAAGTTTGAGATTGCTCTTCTCTTCCTAGCATTTTCTCTCAGATTCTAAAGAGATACAGCAGCACTACGAAGTCCAAGGACCCAGTATCAGTGAGGTGGCAGGTGTGTCTTTCTCGGGGTTTCTAGTCCTAAATTTAGAGAACTCATCGGTCCTAATTCTGGTATCAAGTGGGGGGGATGGGGTGGGGAGTGCTGCCTCCCTGTTTGCCAGAGGAAACAGTAGTCACAGACTCGATGAGAAAGTAATTCACAGTTACTTTTTTTTCCACCATGAATTTTCTGTGTTCTTCCTTGGGGATTTCCCTGAAATTTGGGAAATAGGCCTTCAGCAGTCTTGAGTACAAGTCATTGAATTCACTGATTATCATAGATTCAAAAGAGAAAGTGGATGTAAGCCCCACCTCTGCCACTCCAAAGCTCAACTCAACTTCTAACTACATGGCTAAGGAAAATTCAGTATAAAAATTATCCTGAATGTTAGCAAAATTTTTCTCTTTGGTAAGGGTGGACCTATACAAAAGTACAAGTGTTTATAAATGAATAATTCCTCCCCCTTAAAGGAATTCTCGGGGAATTGTTTTGTAGGGTGTGCAGGGTGTGCAGTTTAGAATGGCAGCTACTTCGTTTAGTTGCTTTTTAAATGCCTCATCGTTGGCATGGTTCTCAGCACTGGGCCCTTGTGAGATTTCCTCTTTAGTGCAGGTGAGGAAGTCTTACAGTAACTAAATAAACAAATAAAATGAAATATGTTAGATGGCATTAAGCACACCAACTAATGCAGGGAATGAGGTCAAAATACGGAAAGCAAGTGGTGGTGCTTCCATTCCAAGGGAAGTGATAAACAAAGTCCTTTCTCGTGTGTGCATCAGAGCACAGAATAGAAGTAAGAGGGGCTCGAGGCAGGGCAGAGACAAGAACAAGGATCTCAGCAGAGTTGTAAATGGTCCTTACATATAATCCGAACTGCTCAACAATAAGGAGAAAGCAAATGTATAAATACATTCCTCCATTCAAAGACAATCACTGATTAGGTTGGGAGCTTTCAGATATTTGTAGACTTAGACACACACACACACACACACACACACACACACACACACACACATTTTCATGCAAATGTATGCAGTCTTATAAGTATATTCTGAATCAACATATTGCAGGTCTTTTTGTGACTTCTAATACTTCTAAATGTTTTTCTACTATTACTGATCCCTAGATAAATATCTATTTTTTTGTCTGCTTACTTCCTTAGAATAGATTCTCATAAATGGAATTGCTAGGTTCTCATAAATGGAATTGTTAGAAAGCATATTAGATCCAAGCATCGTGGCACATGCCTGTAATCCCAGCCTTCAGGAGGCAGAAGCAGATGGATCTCTGAGTTCGAAATCAGCCTGTCTACATAGAGTTTCAGGCCAGTCAGGGCTACATAGAAAGAAAGACACTATATCAAAATAACCGTGTAATTAAGGTTAGGTTGTTTTGGTTTTTTTTTTTTTTTTGCTTTTGTTTGCTTGGTTTTTGCTGTTGTTGTTGTTTCTTTTGTTTTGTTTTCAGTGTCCTGATTTTCATTCCTAGTGGTTGGGAGATCTTTTCTCTGTATCATTCTTCCTGAGAAAACATCTTCTTATAAATTTCTTAGTCTTTATAATTTAATTCCCATTCACATTCTTAGCTTTTTAAAATTATTATTTATATATTTCCTCAGTATTTTATAACACATTTTTGAATATTCTTTTTCCTTCCTACACGTTGTGAGTAACTTTCTTAGTTTGTCTTTTGCCTTATAACTTTGGTTAAGAATTAGAGTTTTGTTGTTGTTATTGTTTTGCATTTTTTTACCATGTTTATGCATGTGGTTCGAGATTTAGTTTCCTAGTATATACCCACAATTACAAAACTATTACTGGTCACTTGTACTAATGACAATTGTTATTTTCCCACCTCCCCCAATATATGTACCAACCAGAATCACAATATGTGTTGCCTTTCTATCCCGTGTGTGTGTGTGTGTGTGTGTGTGTGTGTGTGTTCACATGCATTGAGGGCACATGTTTATGAGTAGTAGTAGCGTGTGTGGAAGCCCAGAGTCTCCCTCAGTTGCTTTCCATTTATTTATTGAGATGGTCTTACTCTTAGGGTGAGTCTTAGTGTGCTCAGAGAATTTCCTGTTTCTGCACAAAAAAGGTTACCATTATCAGCCAGCTGCTACACCAACTAGCATTTTTATGTATATAGGACTGCTGATCCATCTTTCCAATCTCCTATTTCTTAATAAGGAATTCTTTACAAAAATACTAGAAAAAACAGTCACTTAAAAATGGAGAGGGGTAGTGGAGGTGAAGAAACCTTGAAGCAGAAATTACTTCAGGTGGTCCCATCTTTCACTGCCCAGAAAACCATCATCAGTTTCCCCCAAGAGCCTTCTGTGTATCAAATCCTGCACCCAGCTCTCCTCCACATTCTCATTTGATTGATTCCTTAATAGTTCCAGAATAAGAAGGTAACTGGAAGTCCTGATCAGTTCTATAAGTAGAAATAATATTCATGGTCACAAAAATTTTCTCTATCACTCCGAAGTATATAAACAAATTTTTGGAGTGTTTTCCTTATATTTCATATAACTTAGTGATGTTTGACATTAGTCCTATTCTGTGGAACTCATATATAGTAGTAGAATTTCCATTTATATGCTTATTAAAATATTGATTTTTTTTTCTTGTGCATCCAGAGCCTACTATGACCTCCCCTTCTCATGGGACAGTTGGCCTGTCTACTCCTACCCATGGAAAACAGTAGGAACTAGTTCACTATCTTCATATGCTCCTCTTCTCCCTTATTTTGACACTGTACTAGGGAAATCTAATTTCCATAAAAAGGTGCCTGCAACATGGGTTTCTTCACACCTTCTGTGTTCATGCCCAGAGATCTCTCTTGAACCCCACCTTAGCCACCTGCTCCAGGGTCTCCCCAGAACCTCTCACCACCCGTGATTTCTTTCCTTTAGCAGTCTGAATTTCCACCTCACTGTGTCCCTGACCTTCCCTCTCTTTCTTCCAGTTCCCACAGCCCTTGTCATCTCTCCTGTCCCTTAGGACCACACCTGACTCGATTTTACGAGCCTTTTATGGCTATCACTCCTGGCATATGACCACCATGTCCTTTTTTCTTTTTATTTCCTCCCCTGGAAAACAAAATCCTGCCCCGGTGAAGTTCAAGTTGCTGTTGACTTCATACTTTTACTTACGCGGTAAAATATTCTCCTGAAAATCAAGAGCACTTTCTTTTCATGACCCTGGAAATGTGGGGATGTCAAATTTAAGAATTTCCCAGGAGGATTCACACTATGGGTTAGAATAGACCACCAGAGCCCTGTTGTCCCAGGATGATTCCTATTATTATTATTATTATTATTATTATTATTATTATTATTATTAATCTGCAACAATGCTACGGGCAAAACAAAGTAAATCTAAAGTTCTAAGGTGTCCATTCCCCACTTCTGGCCATGCACACAATCATGATCCAAAAAGTACCCAAAACATTCGCTGTAGAAATGGGAAAACAGGCCTATTTATTATCTCAACAAGAGGAGAGTCTCTATGGTTCTTGACAGCAAATGAAACTAAATCAAACCAGAGCAAGCCAAGCTAACGATGGGCTCGTGGTCTGTGTATAAGGAAAGGACAAAAGCTGGGCAAAAAATTGGGGAATTTGAGTGCACATCTTTATTTTCCTTTATATTTAGTTTTCAATTTCTAATTCTCTAGCATAGACTTCAAGGGGCCTAATGCCAGGCTTCAGCTGTTCAACGTCCTTTCCTAGAATGGCAGTTCTCCACCTGGGGGTCAGAACCCCTTTGGGGTCAAATGACCCATTCACAGGATGTGCTTAAGACCATCTAAAAACACAGATGTCTACATTATGATTCATAGCTATCAAAATTCCAGTTATGAGGCAGCAATAAAAATAACGTCATGGTTAGGGTCACCATGACATAAGGAACTGTATTAAAGGGTTGCAGCATTGGAAAGGTTGAGAAGCACTGCTCTAGAGGAATACCAGGTCCAATTTATTTCTACCCTTCCAAGGCTGTATGTGTTTCCCTTGTCTTTGTTTACAGATGGTCTAATTATGTGTCTTATACTTGAAACAGTATCTTTCCTGGAAAGTGACAAGAGAAATAATCTGTAATTTCATGTTGACCCAAGTCCTTCAGAGCCTTTTGTTCAGTTCTGCATACTTTGTGGCAACAAGTGTGTCAATAAAATTTATCTGAAAAATATTAGGAGGGGGGCTGAAGAGATGACTCAGTTGGTAAAGCGCTTGGCCTGCAAGCAATGAAGACTGTAGTCAAACGGACCTCACCTCTCACCCCAGCTGTGGTGCAAGCGGCAAGGAAGGTATTTGCAGAGGTAAGGGGCCAGGCATTGTAGCCAGTCTGTGGGTTTCCAGATGCAGTGGGAAAACCCATTTCAAAAATCATGTGGCAACCAAAAAAGATACAATATCAACCTCTGACCTCCACAGCTGCTCACCCAGGTGACTACATGAGTACAAACTCATCATGCATGTGCCCACATGAACACATACATGTGCACACACACACAAAGTATAAAAGAAAAGAAAATGAGGAGTTTACAATAAATCATTCGTATTTTTGTTGCTCAGAGAGAAATATGATAAATGTTTTAATTTATTATCTAATCACAAACATTTTCAAATGTTTTTTTGAAGTTTGAATTTGTAGTGTGGATACCAGAATATATTCATATTAGCCCTATCTTAAACAACAAATATTGAGTGGGAAAAAGGGTTCTTCATAATTAGCAAGCAATTGTAATTTTGAAGAAATCATGTTCATGTTTTCTAAACTCAGATCCCAATTTACGATGGTGTTGAAACGCTTCAGTTGGCAGTCATTTTAAAAGGTCCCAGCGGCAGAGTCTAGGTTGGGTAGTTATTCTATGTGACATGTAACACAATATATCAG